CCAGGGGGACAGCTTGAGGCTCTGTCTCAAAAAAAAAAAAAAAAAAGAAAAAAAAAAAGAAAACTGGGTGGCTTCCCTCAGTCTGACTCTTCCTCAGTGCCTCCTTTGTGATACAATGTGCTTGTTTATGGGTTGTAACATGACAGGACTCTCACCTGCAAATGTTGCAAATGCCGGAGCTCTGAAGGCCCCTCTGCTTCCCTCGTGCCCAGGTTGTTGGCAAATAGCCCAGTGACCTCTTCCTCTTCTGCCCTGGGCAGGGCTATAGTGAGGATTTACCTGCTAACAGCCCAGCCCAGGGCTTGTCCCCTTGTGTCCCTAAGGTGGAGGGTAGAGGTCTTTCCTGGCAGAGCCCTGGTACGGTCTGACTTTAGCAGCCCCTACAGTGAGGAGATAAAATGGGGATCATTTATGCTCAGCGCTAAGCTGGAACTAAGGGTGGCCGTGAGTCTCAGAGGCTCCTGGCACACCAGGGAACCGAGGCAGCAAGTTGCAGAGGGAATCGGGAAGGGCCAGGCAGGCCTGGGGACGCCATGGCAGGGGCTGTGCCACAGGACCAACTGGTGGTAGCTGGGTGGGTGGAAGGAGCCCGAGACAGAGCTGGCAGCAACCAGGGGGCTGTTGGCAGCCACGCCTGGCTTGATCTGGAGGCCTCAGAGGACCACCCAGCTCTCTCCTCTGTTACTACTGTGTAAGGTGCTACAGAATGACTCTGGGATGGCTCTGGAATGACCCCAGGATGAGGACTGCAGGAAGCAGCACAGCTTTCCATCTGCCACAGGTTCCAAGGACACGGTGCTGCCCAGCCTGGAGCCCACTCTCTCCAAGGGTTTCCCTAACTTGCTCATTCTTAGGACCCAAATCCAGGCCACTGACTCCCCTCACCGAGCCCTTGTCTTCTGGACCTTCTCCCAGACTCGAGGGCAGTTGCTGCTGTTTTGACCCAATTTGTCTCAAACCCATGAGTGTCTGGTGGCGTAGACTGAGACTATGCCTCTGGGCCTGCAGGGTTTCATTGGAGAAGACAGTTTCACTCTTGCTTTCCAGCCCCACAGGAAGGGCGGGATTGTCTCAAAACCAACACTGCTTGAACTTGAGGATTAAGGGACACTGCTCCCAGGAGGCCTCCCACGAGTAAATCCACAAGCCGGGTTCACGGGAAAACAGCAGCCTCTCTGGCAAGCAGGTGCCGGCCCCTGAAGGCCATCAGGGCCAGACTGGGCCCAAGAGAGGCTGCAGAGCCAGGGGCTGCTTCCAAGAAGGCTGGGCACTCCAGGCAGATGCAGACAGCCTTGAAATCCAGGTGGGGACAGCTGGCTCTGTGGCTAAAGCTCCCACTCGTGTCTACACTGATAGGAGAAAGCACCAGGGTTCTGACCTTTGCCGAGAGGACGCTGCTGCAACACACGGCCGACTTGCTCAGAAACAGAAGGGAGTCCACACCTGAGAAGGGAGTCAACGCTGCCTCCGGGGTGGGTGCAGGGGCAGGAGACGCAGGTGCTGGCAGCAGCTGAACTGGAACCTGGGTTGTGGGGCGTGGCCTCACATGGAGTGGCCTGTGGTGGTGGTCACAGTCCAGCCATCCTCCATTCAGCACAGAACAGCGGTCCTGTAACAGAGTCCTGCTTCCTGTGGGACAGGGTGGGCTGGGAAGCAATGGGTCGGATGTGATGCAGGAGGATGGGGCCTGGAGCTCACAGGAGGGCTCTGGGGACAAGGGGCCGGGGCTGTGATAATTATTCACCTTCGGTTTGTGAGGCAGCTGAAATAGGCAAAAGCTGCCTGGCTGGCTGGGAGATTATGTGTCCAGAAACACCTACCTGACCTGTGGAAGGACACAGCAGAAAGGGTGGACGCCTGTGCTACGCCCAGAGGCTTCTCCCCAGATAGGCCAGTGGTCAGTGCTGTCCAGAGCAGAGTCCTCCTCACAGAAAAGGGAATGACTTGCCCATGCATAGCCCCTGGGGATCGGAAGCCTCTGGAGAAGAGGCTCACTTGTGGGGGACAGTGTGCCTCAAACCTCAGACCACTTAGCATTATTTTGGGGCTGGTTGCGCCTGTGGCTCAGTGGGTAGGGCACCAGCCCCATATACCAAGGGTAGCGGGTTTGAACCTGGCCCCAGCCAAACTGCAACAAAAAATAGCTGGGCGTTGTGGTGGGCATCTGTAGACCCAGCTACTCGGGAAGCTGAGACAAGAGAATCACCTAAACCCAAGAGCTGTAGGTTGCTGTGAGCTGTGATGCCACAGAACTCTACCAAGGGCAACAAAGTAAAACTCTATCTCTAAAAAAATAATTATTATTATTTTAGGGCAAGAAATAAATCACAGGTCACCTCCACTGTGTCCAGGAAGGCCCCAGGGTACAGTTCAGTGGTGCTGTGTCGAGGGCACCCAGCTGTGCTCCTTGTTTTTGTGAATTATTGATTTCTGGAATCTTTTCTCTTAAATGGTCTTAAAATAATTTCATTTTTGTTAATTTGCTATCACCAAGCTATTTCCAGGAGAACCATAGAGCTCTCTTAAAATCCAGTTTTCTCCAACTTTAGGAGATATTTCTAGGGAGGCAGAATACTTTCAAATTTCAAGTATTTACTAGCCTGTCATCTTGAAGGGTGTGCCATGGAGAAATGGCCAGTCCTGGCCCCAAACAGCGACCTGAATCTGGGAGCTGCCCTACGGACCCCCCGTGGCCAGCAC